GCAGAAAAAATCACAGAATCTTACAAAAAGCTAGGTTGAAAGCGACCTCTGAGGTTCCAAACTCCTGCTTCAGTTAAAGTTAGCTTCCAAGCTAGCTCAGGGCCTTGTCCAGCTGAGTGCTGAAAACCTGTAAGGACAGAGATTCCATGACCTCTCTGGGCAACCTGTTTCTATGCTTCACCATTCTCATGGTGAGTAACTTTCCTTATCAGAAAATGTCAGAATTTCTGTTGTTGCAACTTGCACCAGTTACTTCTTATCCTCTCACTATGCACTTCTGAAAGTGCCTGGGTATATCTCATCCAAAGAACTCCCTTAAGGGATTTCTTTTACTAACAATTCTTTCCAATTACAATTATATGTAAAACGTACTCCCCCTCCCCTCGCTTCTCTGCTTTCATATAGAACTGAATTGCTTTGTGATGCAAGGCAAGTCGCTATGAATACACAACTCTCAATATATTCTCTGTGTTTCTGTTTTCAAGAGTGTTTGGTATGTGCAGACAGCTGCCCCGTTTTGTGAAGTGCTGGGATTTAGGTACTCCACAGTTTCACAAGTAAGTGTATGTATGAAGAGGAGGAACAACCATACACAAACATCTATGTAAGTTCTTTGCCTGGTGGGAGAAAAGCTTACAGGATTTTTTGACCTCACCATGTCTAATATCTTCTTTGAGAATAAATAAGGAAAAAATGGAGTACGAGTGAAAATAAATTCCTGTAAAACGGCAGTTTCACTAACAAAGAGACAAGATGAACTCGTCTGGTGGCTTTCTCCTGGGAGAAGGTCTTCCTATGCTTGCAGCCACCATTTGTATTCACTTCATTAAGGATTTTGCGAAGCTTGAATATCTGTGTTGACATGATGCCTTTCTGTGCATAACATTATTTTCTTCAGAATTTAACTTTCAGTACAAGTTTGTTATAGCTGTCTCAAAAGAAGAAGCTGCCACAGTTACATCTTTGCATTAGGCAATATGAGGCGGCGTAGCAAGTACTACAGGAGACGCGCTTATTTAATATATCCTTGTATGTCACATTTATTGCTAAGGTGTATTTATGGTAGCTAAACAGCAAAAAAAAAAAAAAAATCCATTTGTATGTTCAAAGGGTATTCAAGCATTTTTTGTGATTACAAGAAATAGTTCTGGATCTGAAAATGAAAACATTGCAAATTATCAGAGAGATGCCACAGTTTATTTTCGTCACTTACAGTGAGTTAGAGGAACAACACAGTAGGGCACAAGCCACCTAGGAGATTTCTGGAGTGCATTGACAGCAACTTCCTGACATAGGAAATCGAGAGGCTAACAAGGAAAGGTGCTCAGCTGGACCTGGCACTTCCATTCCCCCAACTAGTTCTTCCTCATTTCCTTTCTTCAGTTCAGCAAAGTTCAACAAGGGGAAATGCAAAGTATTGCACCTGCACTGGGAGCCCACTGGCTGGAAAGCAGCTCTGCAGAAAGGGACCTTGGTATCCTCGGTGGACTACAAGTTGTGCCTGAGAGAGCAACACACCCTCACATCTAAGGCAGCCATCCATGTTCTAGGCTGCATACAAAATAGCTTTGCCAGCAGGTCAAGGGAGGTGATCCTTCAACTCTGGTCAGTACTGGTGAGACACACCTAGAGTGCTGTGCCCAGTCCCGGGCTCCCCAGTACAAGTGAGATATGGACTTACTGGAGCAATTCTAGCACAAGCTGACAATGATGATGAGGAGATTGGAGCATCTCTCATATGAGGAGAGTCTGAGAGATCTGGGACGCCTGGAGAAGAGGCGGCTCAGGAGGGATCTCATCAACGTGTACAAATACCTGATGGGAGGGACAAGAAAGGGCATGGAGTGAAGTTACCCTGACAACCTGTTCTCAAGGGCATGTTAATGGCAGTACAGCAAAACCAAAGCTACTAAGGTGAACTGAACCTACTCTCCTGCAGCTCTGAAAGCACTTTAAAGACAGCAAAAATTGCTGTTTGACAAAGACGTAACCTCTGCCTTTCAGCTTTCTTGTAAAGGATGGCAGGACCTTGGAGCTCCCTTTTCTTTTTGACTGTATGATTTGTAGGCTTAAGAGCAGCTGTTGACAAAGGATTTTATGTTAAGGATATTGTATTTAGAGGTATTTGGGGTGTGGGTGGGAAGGGTGTGAAGAAGAGCTTAAACACACCTAGTAGCAAAATCTTTTACAATACTGTGCATGCAAACTCTTGAGGAAGAGGTTGGTTTTTTTCATGCGGAAAAGAAAGCACAGAACGAAGATCTACAAAGACCTTCAAGGGTTTGCCCCTCCGTTGCTTGCCAACATGTGATCCTGAAACACTGTTTAAAGGGATGGCCAAGGCCTAAGGTATCAGTGTCATGATTGATGTGCAAAGACCTGGATGCAAAAAAACCCTGAATATTTTTACAGGAAGCAAAGCACTAAACCAAGGGAGAGGTGTAGTGGTGTTGCTATTACACCCAATATTTTAGTGCCGGTTATGCATCAGATGAGGATACTATCTGTTAAGCTGCCCACACAAGCTATGGTCAACCTGTATTGTGCAGGAACAGAAAGCATTTGGGCTCATACAGAAAACACCAAATCCCAGTTACACTGTTCAGATACTGCTTTTGTCCACACTGATTGTTTCTCTGCCCTTTGGACTAATTCCTGCAGTGTTATTTTTCACTGGTAAAAGGAAACCCTATAAAAAAACCCAGAAATACATTTTATTCTGTCCTAAAAACTGTGTAGAATGCATAAAAATGAGACTGTATGTAAACATATTAATCACCAGACTTAGTAATGTTTTCCTCAAGACAGTTTGCAATGAAAAGTTGAAACTCTCTCTTATTTTGTATGAAAATAGTGACTAAACTGTTACCCTTGATTAGACATCAGCTACTCAGAGATTTGCGCTTTGGAATACGTTTACTATTACTCAAAAGTAAACATCGTCCCTCAATAATTCATGTGATGAGTATCTTGGCTCTGCTATGACTTCCACCAGTTCTCCCTCTGCGCATTCTAGTTGTGCCATCCCAACTTTTCTTAAGCAACAAAACATATGCACTCTGAAAAAAAAATAATCAAAGAGCTTGGAAACTAATGATTAAAAATACACTCCAACATTTAAAGCTGTAACAAAGAAACAGCACTATTAGCCAGCAAACTTGCTACACAACCAAAACTTTTCACCTCAGGATGAATTGCAAGACCAAGATACTTATATCAAAGAAGGCTGACACAGGTAAGATACTTACCTGATTTATCAAAATCCGTGTTTCTGTTCAGTATTAAGGCAAGACACAAGAATGATGTACTCCCAGTCTGAGGGGTATGCTGCAGATTTTTGTTCTGAGAGAGGCACAGGTGTCAGATCCTTCGTGATTGAGACAGCTCATAATTACAAATGCTTTGCTATATAACTGCCTTTGCAAGGCAGAGCCGATTTCAAGATCTCCTGTTTCCTGACCCCACTCTTTATTTCCAGCCTTTAGGCGGGCCAATGCTCCCTTAATTGTTTTGCAAAACTGACAGACTAGAGGGGAAGCAAGGAATCATATAATGGTTAGAGTTGGAAGGGACCTTAAAGATCACCTAGTTCCAACCCCCCTGCCATGGGCAGGGACACCTCTCACTAGACCAGGGTGCTCAAAGCCCCATCCAACCTGGCCTTGAACACTTCCAGGGATGGGGCATCAAGAAGAATGTTTGAAACTCAAAAGTTTTTGATCCAGTTCAGGTGGAAGTCCCACAAATTACCTGTAGCAACACCAAGAGCAGGGAACTAGTGTATAGAGGGGAAAAGGCAGCTGCCAGTACCATAGCTGACTGAACACAGAATTGCCAAACAGAAAACACGTGTCCCTAAGAAGTGGGGTAGGGGAGAGGCTGGGAAGAGGCATCTCTGAGGGGGAGGGAGAGGAAACAGTCCAGACCACAAATACCTAGTTTGAATGAACAGATCTTCCTATTTAGACTTGACATCAAGACTTTGATATCAGTTATGTGACAGACTTCCTTGACGGTTCCTAGAAATTCGGTTAATTTTGTTTACAGCTACGTGAAAGCCATGCACAACAACTAAAGCAGCACTAAATTTCAGACCAGAAATTCCTAGACTTAGTAAAGATAAGGAAGCAAACTTTCTCCTGGCAAGAACAAAATATTTGCAAACATCAAAAGTGGTTTTGTATTTTTATTAATATTTATTTACAAAATATTGTAAATTCATAGCATCTGTACAGCTTGCACACATCAATGGTACAAAATCCTCATTACATCAGTACTGAATTATAAAAGTTTTATTTTAAAATTACTGAAAAGCACACCTTATCCAGTATTTTTTCCATCCACGTAAATATACATATCAAATTTAAAAATATAATTATTATATTTTCTTTGTGGTTCAAGACACCAGGGATCACAAAAACATCCATCTTTTTTAGATCCAGGGTAGAATTCTCGTAGTGAGCGTTTTAATAGAACTCCTAAATATTGTTACTCTCAAAGTAAGTATTCTCTAGAGTGATTAAAAAAAGATTTAAAAATACTGGGAAACGCAAACAACTTCTACAGATTATTAGATGGGGAACGTAATAATGATCACCGTTCATGCAGTTCTGTCACTGCTGAAATAAAATATTCCTCCTCAAAGACGTTTAAGTTAAGACCTAAACAGAACTGCTAGACAATTCTACTAGAAACATTTCATGACTGCTGCCATGATACTGGGAAAATTATCGCTTTTTATTTTCTATAAAATATAATTTTTTCTAACAGTTGTTGCTTTTCAGTGAAGATTCACACACGCGTAGACAATTACCTCCCTCAGCAAACAAATCAAAAGCAGGATTGGTACATTGCTAACAACATGATGTACTAAGTAGATATTTTTCTTTTGTTTAATCTAGCATATATCATAATATTATACAGGAATCCTCATAGAAAAGAGGACAAAATTGAGGTTTCTGCCATGGACAAAAACATAATACAATTAAAATATAAAATACATATATAGTACACGTCAGGTTAGTTAGTAGTGGCATTTGAGGTTTCTGGAGACTGAAGGAATTCATAGGGATCGTGAACCATGTCTTGCTGTTCTCCAACACTCAGATGAGAAGGGCTTCCTGTAGAATATGGAAAAAAAAAATAATCAAAACCTTTAGAAGTACAGAAAAATAATGAAGAGATATTTATGTACATAAACAGCATGGTTATTTCACAAGTTTTTCTCAACTTTCAAAGCAAGACAGACATGTTTAAATGATATTTAAACAGGAAATTTTGAAAAAGAATCATAGAATGGTTTAGGTTGGAAAGGACCTTGAAGATCATCGAGTTCCAACCCCCCTGCCAGAAGTTACAAGATTCTTCAGTAGTTTAGATACTTTTTGAAAAAGCAGCCATTATTCAATTACTCTGAGTCGAAAAATTACACAAAATGCGACTATCATCCAACCAACATCTCCTACCTTTTTAGAAAAGGCACCAAATTATTAAGTGATATGCTACCCTATCATCCTGTCTTATCACTGAATTTTACATGTGACAATGGAAGGCTATTGTAGAATCCCACCTGTTACTCACTGCATACAACTACGCCAAAGTAAAATAAACATTAAATACTGCTTAGTATTTCTAAAAGCATAAAGTGCAAGTGCATATAGGGATTTGCCAGTCAGTATCAATTTCTTTCACAATTACTTCAATCATGCCTAATCAAAAAATAAGTAGCTACAATTAGTGTCCTTAATTCCACAGGTCAAAAGTATGTCTTTTTAGTTACCTTTAGCATGCACATTTAAAAACTAAAACATGATCCTGTAGCGAGCACACTGTTTCATCAGAGCAGTTTCATGCAAAGATTTATGTAAATTAAAATGTAAGTTTTAACCAGTTTCCATTCGAGCAGAAGTACTGCAACTTCTGTGACACAGGTAACTTTACCAAGATGATGTTGGTCTCTTTCAGATGTATTGGAGAGAGAACTCAAATTGGATGATGGCCGGGATCCCACTCTGTCAGCCTGAGCTTCATGAAGGTCCTGCAACAGCTTAGTTGTTTCATCCAGATGTAAATGGTTATCGTCATGATCGAGCTCCTTCTTCACTTTCCCTAAGGGCCACCAGTTACCAACCAAAAACCATAATTAGCACATGCAGATTGACTCATGACTTACCAAGTCACTATAAAAAAATTGTGGAATAAATTACAAGTGTTATCTATCACACAAAAGACCTCCACCTTACATTCTTCTTTGCGCTTCTAAAAGGCAACAGCTCCAGATCTGTTTTCAGTTTCAAGAAATACATGTTGAAATGCATTTGGCGATATTGGAGGATGAAGGAGAGTGCCATGGGAAATGGTTGAAACTGAACTGAACCCCCAGTATTTAAATGGCTGTAAGAACTTAATTTGTCTTCCTCATCTGTTAAACTCCAGACATGAAATAATGCATTTAGTTTGCAGCAAAGAGGAAGTCACTAAAAAGATTACTTCAATATCTAACTTAAAATACCATTAAAATAGAACATGTTATTTATGGCAGTGAAGACATCCCCAACACAGAAGGTTTTAAGAACAGTGTCTTCTCCAGCTACACTGATTTTATAGCAAGCCAAATAAAATTGTGAAATTAGAAAGAACTGGAAGTATGTGCCAACATACGCTGCTCTTTCATCTGAAGACTTAAAAAAATTTACCTCAACTTTGAACAGGAAAACAAACTCCTTCCCTTCTCTCTGAGTCATCTTCACTGCAGACCTTGCTAATTTTGCAAGAATTACGTTAAGAAATAATGCCATAAGCTCTCTCTGGAAGCTAAATAATCCAGAAGTATGATAATTTACAGAAAGATCAAAGAAAAATATAAGCAGCTTTCAATGGAGCCAGAAATTCATAGTACGGCTCATATGTCTAAACATTATCTATAAAAAAGATATTTATTCATTTTTTACTGAACTGCTATAAAATGAATGTGTGACAGCCTAATCAGAGCTTACAATTGCTTTTCAAAGAATACTACATCTAAGGGACTAATCTGCAGAAATCTTTTTTTTCTTTTTTTTTTTTTTTTGCTTTAAGCTTTCAATTACCTTGGTTATGCTTTACAATAAATACTTTGGCATCTTTCACATTCTGAATTAAAAGTTTTGGGACATTCCAAGTGGTGATATGATTGAGCTTCACATACTTACCTACTTCCCCAGTTATTTCAAAAGACAGCATATGAAGCAGTAATATTTCTGAGCTAAAGCTCCACACTGATTCTTAAAATGTATGTTACTATGAACACATAAAAAACAAACAAAGCCATCAAAATTGTGAGGTACATATTCTTTGGTTTCTTCAGTGGTACAAGAAAAGTTAGCTTGGCTAACACATGGGTGTCTCAAAGGGAAAACAGACCAAGGTTTCGTTTATGTTGTACTTGCCCTAGACTTTTACCTACATCAAATCTAGACTTATTACTACTTTTTGAACACTTTTTTATTCTTAGCAAATCCAGCTAATATTTTGCCTAAATAGTACGGCTAAACAATAGTTGATGGCTTGTAGTTAATTACTTACCTAAAGAACTTAACATAGAAATATCAAGAGATACATCTGAATATGGTTTCATAGAGAGAAAGTCCAAGTCAGAAGCGTTAGTGTCTCCAGCAGATTCTCCAACCTATTAAAATACAAGAAACAGAAAGACTAGCAATAGTGACAAGCCGTCAAAATAACTTTTTAATGTTTAAGGTAAACACATGAATTCATATTCTCAAAAGCGTGCACCACAACACTTAAGACTGGAGCATCCATAACCATCTTGGCTAACCTGCAACTCGCAGCTCAAACATGGTTTCAGGACAGACCAATCGTATGACTGGCACGGGATCTGCAGGGTACTCTAAGTATCTTTTATCTCATCATCCAGGACTGTTGAAACCAACATTACTGAATCCTCTGGGACTCAGTTACATGCCCAACTCATGCCTGTCCCACAGCAGAACCCTGGCAAGGGGAAGCATTATCAATACACCCCATTCATGAACCACTCCCAGATCCCCTTTTCCCTCACATTCTCAATGCAACACTGGATTTATTAACATTTGTAGTATGCGACTAATTAAACTAGTCAGGTAGGCCTCCCTATACACACTATCAGCTGAAACTTGTCTCTGAAGTATTTTTTCTATACATTTGGATAATGTAATACTGCCTGCACTACAACAATTTCGTTTTTCCATACCCGTTGCAATACTGATATGTAATGACAAAAACTAAGATCTAAGTAAAAGTCATTAAGCTTCAAAACACATTCTAACAGCATTCTCTGAGGTTGCCTATTCCAGCAGGAGGAATAAGACATGCAGGAAAATACACAACCAGGTATTATCTTTTAGAAATATGAAAATGAAAATTAGCATTTTCATAAATTAACTTAACCAGTCACCTTCTACAGAAATACAAACTTTTCCACAGAACATAAGGAATATTTATAAAACTATAAATTTTATTAGTTGCTATAATGTAACCCATACAATTTGTATGTGAATTGCCATGGAATACAATCCATATCTTCTGTTGCCACAAATAATTTGCAAGATAAAACCCTTACCACTTCAGGAAAGATTTGATTAGTAGCTGTGAAAGCATAAGATATGCATTATTTACCCCCACTTTCTAAGACATTTTCAATGGATGCAGTAAAACTGACAATTACTACTGGGTTTTTTTCCACTTTAACAGCAGGTTGAACCTCAAATATTCATTAGCGGTATTCATCAAGTATCCTTCAGATTCCTAAGCGGTCTTTCTGCTTCTGAGATTTAGTTATGTATGCTGAATTGAAGTAGAGAATACAGAACAGGACAAACAATGCCACTAACTAAAATTGACCGAGTGTCAGAGATTCCATGTTAAGTACTGAAAGCTTATTCGAGATACTGTAATTTTAATTTTCTACTTCAAAGCACGCATATCCTTGCACTCATTTGTTGTTCACGTTGTTGGGGTTTTTTTTGTTTGTTTTTACACACAAACCATTTTACCATAATTTGTTTGGAAGAATCTGGACAGGTATTACGCAACTTCTGTTCTTCTTTTATGAGAACTGGCAGTACCTAAAGAATCAAATCATATTTTAGATCTTAATATTTCAGAGCTTATACTTATGTCTCCTGAGAACACTCTTAGTTTGTATAATTCACTGGTTTATCACAACCACATTCTAGGCTACCACAGAACACTACTATGTTTTGTGATGTTTACATGGATCCTTTACAAACAAAATAAAGACTAGCTCTTCTCTAATGGGTGACCGTATATATTCACGTAAACAACTTAGAACTAACCAGGATAGCCCCTTATGACAGCTGCTTTAGAACTAACTTAACAGCCTCTTCTTTACCATATACTGCACTTATCAAGCTTCTCTGTATTATTATTCAGAACACATGCACATTAAACAAAATTGAGAATTTGAATGTTGGAAGCCCAGAGAACATCACTTTCTCCGCTTTAAATGCTGAGACACTTTTTCCAGTTAAAAAAACCCCACCAGACTGAGTATCAGCATAACTTACTTTAACTTCATCGACTGGTTTTACTGGGATGTTTCGCCTCTGGAAAGAAAGAATACTACCAATTACTTTTATTCAACATAGGAGAAAGACCTATCTTGTACAATTTCGAGTATATTCAAACTTCACACACAAAATGAGGCTAGAGACAGCTAACTTTTTCACGTATCTGTAATGCGATTATAATGTAACAGTTACTGTTTTGAAATATTTTAGTATTATGCATTTCAACTAATCTTCGAGTCCCCTTACATTATTTCTTCTGCCCCATTCAAGTGCAGTATCTTAGTCATTACTTCAGTAACTTCTGATTCCAAATCATTTAAGGTTGCACTTTCAGAGATTAATTCTCGCTGAGATGTAGCCACACAAAGTACTCACACATAAAACACCACGGCACATCATCACTGAAACATTTTGCACAAAAATTGCACAAAATCTGTACATCTCCACATTATGTCACAACTAAAGAGCTTTTCTAACCATAAATAGCCATTGACCATTTGAAAAGTATTCAGAAAATCTCATTTGGAACAACATTCATAGAACAAGGTGGCAAAAAGGGAAAGACATGTTTTATTTTAAAGCTAATTTCAATCTGTTGTATACACACGTTTCTAGACATAGAATATTCAAAATATTGGTTTTGAACTTTCAAATTTTTTTAACTAATCCTTTACATTTCTTCCCATTTCATATACAATCTTTTTCCAGTAGCAACTGGAAAAAAATACTCAGGAATTTCTGAAGAATCCTCTGTATTCTTCATTCTACTGTCTCATTTTCCCCAAATATCACCCAGCCTTTTCTACTTTTAAGTCTGCAGAGATTTAGCATAAAACCATTTCCACCATGTCAGGAAGTCTGACCACTTTCCATTCTCCACACTGCCTCCCTTTCTTTATTCTTAAATAACTCAGAATGTCATCATTTTAAACAAATAATTATTTCAAATTAAGAGTGGTTTTCAGAGTGAAGATAACATGAAACAAGATTTTGCAGTTTCTAGTGGTCTATTTTGTCTTGGGAATGCAAACATTGCCACTAGAATTATACACACTTCTGAGAAAAACCTCTTCTCCAGTCCTAGTATGAATCTCGTAGGTAAAGTACTTTTGGAAATCAGTTAAAAGTTTCTCCTTCAGACATATTACATGAATTTAAAAGTTAGCACTGTTGGGTAATAGATACCTGTACAGTGATATTGATAGGTTGTCTAACATTATTTCAATGTTCTAAATAATGAATCCTTCCACAAGGAAAATATTTTGCATTAAAATTAAGGGAAAAAAGTCCATAACAAAAGTGTTGCAAAATAACTCAGAACCAGATATGTAAGTCATGACACTGAGTGACAGGGCCATCCAAACACCATTCAGTTGGTTGGTCTCTTCTCCCCCCTGCTATGTTGCGCCCCCCGACCTCTTTATCTCTGCAGTCACGTAGTGAACTACATTGGAGAACGGATCTAGCTTGAGAAAAGAAAAAGATTACTTCTCTGCTGATTAATTCAGTTTCTAATTTGGTTCACTGTATGGCTGCGTAAACAGCTAAGCCTGCGCTGCTTAAACTAACAGTGGAAAACAAAGCATCTCATACAATAACAGAAACGTCCATTCTTGTTTTGATGAACTTGTGATGTTTCTGTGCATCAAGGACATACATACCTGCTTTAGCTGATAAATAGTTTTAGAATGATCTCCACTAGTGATCTGGTCCAGAAGATCATCTACTATTTTCTTGCTGTAATTCCCAGCGTCCTTCACAAACTCTTGTAAGCTAGTAGGAACAGAGATATAAGGATTACAGAAAATGTTTACTTTCTTAAAAAATATTTCCACTTATAATATGGTTTTCCCCAACTATGCTGCATTACACCTACATTTTCCTTGTTATTTTTATGCTTCTTCAGAAAAGCAATTAAGGCCTTCAAGATAGGGGTTTTTTTTCTTTTTTTTCATGTAAGTAAAAGTATGTGCGAATTTATTTTTCACAACTACCAGCACATTTTCACTTGAAAATGTCACGGGTAGTGGGTTAAAAAAAAAAACAAAGAAAGAAAAAAAGCCTGTGATTAATTCTTTTCCTCCAAGATTGACTATTTAATGAAAAGTGGCATTTTCCTTTTCCAGTAGCTTTAACTGTTTTGAAACTCCTCAAAAAACATCACTGTTTTAAAGTCACTGAAATCTATTATTTGCATATCTAAGCCTACTTAGTGCTGGGCTTAAAGCAAAATGCTGTATCTTTAGCAGCCTGTAATATCTTGTGGTCAAAGACCCTCATAACAAGATCTGTAGCAGCCTCGCAATAAAATAGGGTAACTTAAAAGTGAAAATGAGAAAAAAAAAAACCACACACCCCCCCAAACCAAAAAACAAGCCACGAACAAGGATGAAAGCCAGCTTCAAGTTTTATAGTGATTTTTTTTTTTTAAATAAATTTTAGAAAAAAAATATAACAGGATTTGGAAGCTCCTTCGTTGATATTTCATCTAAATTGCTTCTCATAAAATTGCTATGAGAAGTCAGGTCTCCTAATAAGGAAGCGCTTACCTTAAGGCACACTGTATCCCAGTTTCATCACCATATGCTGAGTACAGGAGTTCCATTTCATCTGATTTCAAATCATGGAATATAGAGTTGTTTTGCATGGACGGTGCTGTACTAGCACTTGTAAGAAAGGTTACTAGACAGGTAGAAGCAAGAGATGACAAATGATGAACACAAGTGTAAAAGATCACTGGGGGAGGGAGGGGGAGTGGAGAAAAAAAAAATATTTGTTTTCTGAAACAGATACAGAAAGTGCAGTGTGGTTTTTTTCTCCAATTGAAATAAAGAGCAATAGCTTAAGGATACTTCCAGACTCCAGAATCAGTGCAACTATTTTAACCCTATAAATAAATGTACTTATACTAGTGGAAAAGAACTAAGTTAACCATCCCACTCCCACAAAAAAAGATTCATCCCCTGCCCCCTTTTATATTTCTGGTTTTTGTGTGTGTCTACTTCACTGCTGTCTGGCAGTCAGTTCCTGGAGAACAGATTAGAAACTATTAATTATGTCAATACTAGAAAAAAAATCCAGTTTGTGAAATCCTTGTCATAGGATACAAAAATGCAAATGACCAATAAGTTTTTTTCTCAACTCTAAGTACAGTTGCTCAGGAAAAATTATTTCCTTCAAAGAAAATGGAGTACCATTATTGGAAAGCTTCTAGTGCGGCTACAACACTAAGGCAAAACATTAATCCATAAACTCCTACTTAAGTTATGTTTAATAAGGAAAAAGTTAAAGTTAAAATGCATTCTGCTGTAAAAGCAATAATTATATATTATACAAAAAAACAAGTGAGCTTTCATTTGGAGCCAGATATAACCTGAAATTATTTCATATCAAGAAATTGCTCAAACTCTTAATTAACACAAAGTTAAAACATGTTCTTTAACATTTACCTTTATTTCTTCGTTCATCTTTAAAGCCCAGCGTAGTGAAGCCAGGTAATAATTTGCTTGACAGTGAACTCAGATCCACTGGGTGTGTCTCTTCCTCTAATAATCAGATTTAAAATAAGATAATTTTTAGAAAAGTATTTCATGTTTAGAGTTTATTTATGCTGAATATTTAGATTTTGCTATTTCAAAAAGCTGCAGTTACCATAAAGGCTAAATGTCTTTTAATAGGCACATTTTTATTAAGGATAGGTAGTGTAATTCAGGTTCTCCATTTAAATTTCAAATACAGGCTGTAAATACATTTCCATCTCTTATTCATGAGATCGATGGCTTGCTTAGTTATTTCACTTTCAAAGTACACAGCAGGATCTGAAAAAGTTTTACCAGCTGGTTCACAAACATTCAAGATTCAGATATTTTGAAGTGAAGCAATTTCTTATGTTGACCAAGTGGTAGCTTGTCTATTGAAACCCAGACACCCCGTAAGGAACCTTGTTAAGATAGTTACCATTATGGCTACAGTAATATTTCTTTCTTCTAAAGTTCTGAGAACTGCTTAATTAAAATGGCTCAAATAATTTGGAATGTGTTTTTAAACTCAAAAAAAAATCCCAACATTTAGGACACTTCCAGTTATTTTAAATGTCTCTGGCTTTTACGGAATCTAATGGTAATTATGTGGAAAGCATAAGATAATATAAATAATATATGGTAGTAACACAAACAAAGACCCACAGAAAGAATCAGGGAACTAAAGAAAAAACAATTAAGCAAAACCTAATTAACTTAAAACTGAAATTTAGCTAATAATTTAAAATAGGAAAAAAAAAAAAGGTAAAAGGTGATTCTGTATTTGCATCTCTGGATTGCACATTTACATAAGATTACAGCACGTTCATTCACCTTTTTTTGTCTATTAGATTTTAACACTACAGGGTACTTTCTCTGTAAATTTGTAGCAATGTATAAGTACTTATAAATAGATAGTATTTTACCACCTTACTGTTAGCATTAGGAAAACAGAGCAGCTGAAGAGAGAAAATTTGAAAGGCAAAGAGAAACATCTTATATTGAAGATACTAAATATAAATCTTGGGGAAAATGGTTTGGGGAATGTATTTTTTTCTTTTAAAAAAAACCCTCATCTATACTACAGAGAATCTATACGTAAAGTTAAGACCTCAAAATCTGCTAGAACATTCAACATTAGAAACATTTGCTTTAAAGATTATGGCACTTACCTTCTGCTTCTGGATCAGATGAATTTACTACACTAAATAATAAAGTTCCATCTCCATTTTTTTTCAGATAACCAATCTGTAGATAGAACCACAAAGATACAGGAGCAATAATTCAAAACAGTCCAAACTCAAAGAAGGAGTTACTTACACAGAAAACTATAAAAGCATTTTTAGCTGTATTCAAATCCTGCACTCTGGTAATTCCCTTTTTAATACAGAGAATCTTGGGTCACAACTATTTATCACCGCCTAGCAAATGCTTCAAAACAGAAGACTTAGGATTAAAAGTTCACATCATATATACAACTCTTTATTCATCTTCCTAAATCAGATCTAAAGTTTGCATCTAAGACAAAAACAATTCCATTATAATTAGTATGGAGCCAGGCTTTCTGACTGCCAAGCCTAGAACACACTTTTTCTTAGAAGCAGAACTGTAACTCCTATCCACAACCTACCTCACTGTTTATTTTCAAATCTAGACTGAACTGCTTCTTTTCATATCTCACCCACAACTTTCTCTAATTAGAAGTACTTTTATGAACACGCTATCAAATTCTTAAAGAGGAAGAGGTTCTATGACAGACCAATCAGAACACACAAATACAATGCTAAAAGACAATAGAACACACTGGGGTCTGTAAAGATAGAGCCAGAATTGATGCAACAAACTAAGCTGATGTCAGAAACTGACTACACGTGAATCCTGCAAAAAGGCTGCAACTTCTCAGTGAAGATGGAAAATGAAAACTATGCTCTCCCTAAAGAAATATTAGTAAATACTTCCAAGTAAGTTGAACGATAAATCTCTCCCCTATTTTGTTTTTTTCTTCCCCTCCCTCTTAAAAAGTTTAAAACTCTCTCCATACATAAGGCCAAAGCTGGAAAGGTGACAAATGCTGGAAAGAAAATGAACAGGAACAATACCTTCAAGTGATGGCAAAAGTTAACAATAGCTGAACTCTAAGAATGTGCCAGTATTACCTAGATTCAGTGGGCCCTGTAGCGGTTTATCTAGCCAATTAACGGCCTAGACAATTAAGAGCTGCACACCGAGAATGACTCTTTCTTGAACACTGCAAAACTGACTGCATCAACACGAAAGGCCTTTTCAGTAAAACTAGCAATTAGCAGAATTAGCTTTAAAGGGTTTTTTAAAAGCCACTCTTTCTTCAGAGGTTTCAAATAGCCTTCAATCCTAGCAAGTCTTCTAATTATCCGAAGAAACAGAAATATATCGCAGAAGCTAAACCTTCTCCCACTGCTCAGGAACAGTGGGAGAAGGTTTAGCTTCTTCAGCTGAGGCTTTACTTCCTAACCCAGTTGAGCCTAAGGTGACTGCATAACAAGGGCCATTGTCCAATAAACAGACATTTAAGTTTGAAGACACAACTGCTACCGCCAATGCTTCAAAGCCCATGTTTCTTCCGAAACAGTTAAAAAAATAGGTGAAAAATGCGGGATGTAGCAACATCCTGATTATTTCTTCAATTGTAGTTGTCACTAGAGTATGTGATAGAATGAGAAATGAGGACAAAGTATAATAGCGGTAATAAGACTCCACGTGATGCAAGGGAAACAGAGTAAATGTATCTCAACGTACGCCTGTAGCATTCACTCCAACCATAGCATGAAGTAATCCACCACTATCACATAGCTCAGAAAAGCACAGCCCATGAACAGATCGTGCTGAGAAAACTGCACTAACAGCATCACTGAGCTTCTCCTTCTAACTCTTGGAACAGCACAAAAAACAAACACATGGAACAGTATCAGAATCACATTCAGGATGATGAAACCTGTGGTTAACACTGTCCAAAATTCCAACATGGACAAATTATTGCTATCTTTTTCTAGTCACTGAAAGCTGCCTGTATGTTTATTCACATAAAGACGTGCTATAGCTCACAGCTACTACTTGGAGGTACAAGCCTACAAAAGGTTCTGAACTTCTCATTGAAAGCAGCAATTTAACACTTAAAAATCAAGTAATTGCTTGAGTTGGGGGTGGGGGGAATCCTAATCACTCTTCAACCTATGCCAAAGTTCGTTTTCTCTAAGGCTGCAACAATAAGAAGAGTGTGATGCTATTTTAATCACTTTCAATGGTAAGGGTTGCAACTAAGGAAAACAGATTCAAGACTGAGCAACATCACAATGTTTTCTGCAAGTGAATTTCTAAAGATGTTCAACACAAAATACAACTTGAGATCCATTCAGGACACCCTACAATAGGTTTCAGTGGGAACTAAATGATAGACAACAGTCATATCGGTATTCCTCAGAGAGCATACATCCTAGATGTTAGTGTGTCAGAAACAGTAATACTGAAGCCTGTGTCTAAGATGAAACAAAGCATTCAATAGTCAGACACAAAATGAAATTGTGAACTTTGTTGTGCAGTAGACCTTGCTGTTGGGTAGATATCGATTGATCCTGTCCCGAGCTTCATCTGCTGCATGTTCCACTAGTGCCAGGACATGTTCTTCAGCCGTGCTATCTGTCAGGCTGCACGCATTGCCCTCAGGTTCAAATATGCAACTAAGAAAGAGAAGAGGAGCAGCTGTAGAAATTAAAAGCTAAAACAAAACAAAGGGCTGAATTCTGGGTTTGCTAAATAGAACAATCAGACCCATTCCTCTCCCAGTGTCAGTCTACTTCAGCATTTAAGTGGAATTATAATCATATTATGAAACTGAAGTTTTGCAGCAGAAGTTGAGAACTACCAAACTACTGAACTTCAAAAATGTAATTGTTTCTGTACCTTGATGAAAATAAAGGAAGCATTACAAAACAGAGATTGGGACTAAAACTGCATTAATAAAAGGTGAATGTTGTATGTGTCCTTAGTCTCCCACACACGAATATGCTATTTTCACAACTTCCAAATAGAAGGATGCAGAAAAAAGATTACATGATGAGGGAAGGGAGACTCTGTAAGTCTAATCTGAGAAACAAAAACAGGCTGCATTTATGAGGATTATGTCATTTAGTTGCTTGTAAAAGTAGGACACTACTCCCAGTCTAACAGGGAGTCTTTTAATTCCTGTTTGTTAATATTGGCAATCAGTATTCCTAATCAGTATCAATCACACCATTCCTTCTCACTGAAATTACAGTATTTAACATTTATCTTTCCGTAGATCCCTTTTCATTAAAAAAAAAAATAAATTAAAAAATAACAAATAAGCATACCTAAAATGGAACAGGACATATCTTAGCCATTATATAAAATCAGAGAAAGGTAGTATTATAAGGGGAAGTGTGAAGGTATCGGTAGGATATGGCAGTCCTCATTATATTATATACTTAAAATAAACGTTGTACATCAAAATCTTTCAGGGCATTATATGGACATTAGACACCAGGGCCAAACACCTTAGGTAATGGGTAGAGCATCTCCTCACACCAAATCCATTTCTCTCTCCTGGGGTATCTTCTTCCATTTGCTTAGCTAAGAATTTCTCTCTGTATAGAGATTCAGATCCGATACACAAGAAAGTTTTGCTATTAAAGACAATAAAAAGATCACAGGATCATACTATGATGAGACAAATGTGTTACACGATTTTTGTTTCATTGAAAGTTTAAGAGATTGTGTATGCAGCAGGAAACACCTCAACAACTAGCACTTTTTATCACACTCTACAGAATACTTAATGGACAAGAATTTTGAGAGAATGTTCAGAAGGTTGCAACATCCTGGACAAAATTTTGAAAAACTACTTAGATATTAGGAGGTCCAAGTGATCAAGTCACTTTTAAACTACAGTATAGAGGTCTAAACTGCTTTAACGCTTTGCAAGCATTGACTTCAGCTCTTTCTCTGTTTTTAACTGTGAAATATGAAGGCAAAAGTATCTGCCATTACGTTTGATTCTCCCCCAAAGGTTGTATTGTACACCAAAAAGAATAATACCTATCCTACTGATGCCAAAATACAAGTGTTTAAAAGGTCGAGTTAATTAGAAAAAACAAATTAATTCTAACTACTAAAGTTACATAAACATTGAAAACAACAGGAAATTTATACCACAATTAATTGCAAGGAAACTGGTATCAGGATAAAATTAAAGGTCAGATATTTTTAACTATCTGGACTGTATGCTAAGGTAGATATTAAAGACAAAGCAGTACTATATTGCTTGGCAGTCTCAATTTCTTGCTCTGCTAGCTAAGTGTATTTGAAGATAAGCACAAAAAGTGAAGTAACAGTTTATGTAAGAATTAATCAGAGGAGAAAATCTACTATTCTGAGCACCATACAAACCAAATCATCATGTCTCTTAAAAAAGGCAACCAAACAAAAACCAAAACACCTCTCCCACCCCAGTCAAGTCTTGTTTACAGAAAGGTACTTTCAGGTAATTCTTAAACAAAGCACAAATTACACTTTGATTATTCTCCACGACACAGCAACAGATATGTTTCTGTATGCTGACATTAGAATAGCTCCAGCCAAAAAATTTACTCAGTTTAAAATTATTTCTGAAGATAGATGTTCCAGTCCCCTTTTTCCACAAAACAACTACAAAACCCAAATACTACTTCTTTCACCAGACATTAAGCAGGATTACAAAAATGCTTGAAGTGTAACAAAAAAACCAAGTCGCTGATTGGAACTTACTTTAAAAAAAAAATTCACTTTTAACAAAAAATGAGAGAGCACGAACTTGAAATAACAAGTCACATTTAACTTTTTTTTTTTACTTTGAATGTTTCAGAAAAAAAGCCTGCAGAACATATCTACATGACTCGTAATGCTCTGTTACTGTTTTCTTTTCATAAAATTCTAGTTTGGTCTAAAATTTAAATTCAACATCTATCCTAGGACGTCTATGTAAGAACACTAAAACACATAATTTGCTTGTAAGTCACAGTTTCTGCTGAAAACATAAAATAGAAAATAAAACCCTTAAATCTGACTAAAACTAGATTTTAGCTATAAAATCTAGTTCTGTGACATGGGGGTGCCTATTAGCTGGAAGATAGCTATTGCACTAGCAATATATTTTACAAAGTAGCTTAGTAAAATTTCATTGGGAAGATGTTATCACCTGCTCCAGAAATAGTCTCCTGTACCTCTATATCCTGCCAGATAAGACTAAAGTTAAATAAAATAATTTAATGATCTGGGGCCACTTTGCCTTCCCAGAAAGATCCTGTTTAGATTTTGATACAGTCAATCATTTGGGGGGGAGGGGGGAAGGCGAAAGAAATAAAAGACAAAATGCAAAAGGTATTTGTGGCTACGTTAAAAATGAAATAACATTTCAAACCATCATGAGAAGAAACCACTCATTATATAATACAAAGAAGGGTAACAATATCTACATATACGTTAACTGTAAGCATTTAAAAGGATATGCAGTCATTTTTTTGACTTGTTTGTTTCAAGTTGGGAATCACTGAGTTATTAACCTAGTTCTATAAATAAATAAATAAATAAATAAAATTGCCCATTTATCCTACGGACCACAAGGAGAAAGGCTGAAAGGAGGTTTTTTCCTCAGTTCTTTGCTGCCGTCTAACATTACAAAAGCTGCAACAAACCAGTAAGCATGCCCATTAAAACCTTTACCTAATAACTTCTTTATTTTGCTTTTTGGATTTCTTGGTAGTCTCTGCTTGTACAGGAACAACTTCAGGGACAGGTTCCTCAACTGCTGTGTCTTCATCACCCAAAAGAGCTGCCTGCTGAGAAAAATCCATGTCCTGCATAAACGACATGCTGCGCTTCAAAGCTAACAGCCGTTCCTAGAATCAGAAAGGACAGAGCGGCAGGGACTTAACCTTTCCCTCATAGCCAAGATGCTATGATAATGGGATGGGATGGGAATGGCCATGGCCTTATTTTGTTCTTAATGCCTCGTTTCCAATGGCGATGCAACATGATTTGGTCATGGTAGCATGGCATCAGAATTTCTGCAGCCCAACTATCAAGAGAGAAACAAACAAACAAAAAAACTGCATATGCAAAGACAACTGCCTATTTTACACAAAACTTACCATAACTGTAACACACACACACGCGCGCACACACACACACAGCAGCTGACCAAAATAACTTCATTTTACAAGCCAACAACTGTATCTGAGTAGAAAGTGTGTTTCCACACACGCATCTGTGAAAAGCCTGAAACCTCCCCTGCACCCACCACCTTCAAAAACTAAAAGCTTTCTTGTTTATGTGGCAATAAAACTTAAATAAGATCTTGTTTTCAAAGTTTTGACCAGAAGCAATGTTTTACAGTTGGGTGTTACATGTGTGGATCTTAATTGCTTCCACTAAGACCAGTGGAAGAAGATCCTACAGACTTCAGTGGTGTCAATGAGGTTGAGAAATAAGAGCGTGGTTGTAACAAGAATGCTATCAGGTCCTTAAATATAGCAGCACTAACAGGCACTGCTGTAATTAATCACAAATGGATGAAATAACATTTATAATTGTTATTAATTATGTTCCTTCTAAGTATGACCAAAAAAAAACCCAACCCAAAGAGTTTCTGCTTTTTGTTTTTAATAGGTCTCTTACTTTGCTCATCATCTTAAAGCCTGTGTGCAGTATCTTCTTGGCTAGCTTGTAGTACACAGTATCTGGTCTGTTGTAAGTCATTGCATTATCACACATCAGTTTAAAATCTGCCTGTAAAATACAAAATGAAAGAATTGTTAACATTTTGAACTCCTTTGTTAAGTCACTGGAAGGTACCATTTCATCATGGCAGCTCTGTGAAGAACACAATAATATTTTAGCAGCAGTGTCATGGAGTAAACGCAAGCCAAAAGGTAACACAGGATTGCAAAGGTCTGAGCCCCTTTTGCTTCTTCAAGATGCTCAGTTTTGTTTGGAATTGGCTTTTTGGTTATAAAAAAACCCAACCTTCTCCCTGAATGCCAAATGTAACATTTCCTCATCATGCAAACAGACCAAACAGAAGACATGGAGAACTTGTTAGGACTGAGGCACCAAGGTAAGTACTTTTTGGTGTTTTTCCCACCTTCTAAATCAGAACTGAATTGAGAAATACAATGACATCAGAAAGATACAAAATATCTTACATATAATTTTAATTCTAGTAATTTGACCAATCCTTTGGTCACTTGCACTAAATACAAAAAAAAAAAAAGAAAACTTCAGAGCATAAGAAAAAGCCTTCTAGATGCTCATCCAATGCAACAAAAGAACTGAACAGTCAAGTCTGATTTTGTGTGTTCCTTTGAATGGTTATGTCATAGATAATTTCAAGTATTTTTTACTGATGCAAGTTCCCAAAACAAAGGTGCAACACACTCCACTGTAAACAGAACCAAATAAATTTGCTGCAGATTGCAAAAGCTTTCTTAGGGTGCCTTTTTTCTAGTCACATGCTAGTGATCTCTAAAGCAAAACATAGAAAGCATTATTAGAAGCTTTATGAAACATTGAATTAAAAAGACAATATATGCCTCTGAAAAATTCTGAAGTTGGCAAATCAATAACCAACAATCATGCAATAGTCTTTCCAAGCACTTCACAAATTGGATCCTAACAAATTAAACTGGCACCTGATTTAAGAATGTATTTTTCTCTCTTAATAACTTTCCAGGACTTAAACAATTGTTCAAGCAATTAGGTTTCATTTATTCTGTAGACACAAATCCAAATGTTTTCTTGTGCATGAGTGCACTACATTTGATGAAGACTTGATTACATGCAAAAGTGTATGCAAACAGAATGGTGTACTTTTTGAAAAGTTAATCCATTGAGTTTACAGACCAGTGAACAGATCTGCTGAGACAAAGATTTTTTGAAAGTTACTATTGTGGTTGGACACACAAGTCTTTAGGAAGACTTTCTCTGACACCCAACATTTACAATAATTAACCTTGCCCTACTGCAATCCTGATCAGATTCTGTGAAAATAAAAAATTGTTTTACTTCCTGTTTCCATACAGCAATGCTAAAGCAGTGCTCCCCTAATCATTTAGTAGTTATCACCAAGCCTATACTAAGCAAGTAAGCGAACAGGGTTACAATTGGTAGTCTGTGACCTCCTATGGCATTTAAATCATCTGCCTTCATGTAACGAGACCATCACAAAAACAAATTGAGAAGGTGACATGACATGGAGGACCAAACTATGAGCAGATAAAGAAGCCCATGTGAGCTATACACTTAGTAATGCCCTTTGAAGTGATGCAGAAAAGGACACAGAACAATCTTTTGCTTGCCCAACTTTGAAGTAGACACTTTTTTCAGCAGCAAAACTGATGAGTTTTCTGCAACAATTTCCCCTCTCCTATATGCAGCAAATGCTTCTTGCAGACTCTACTCTTAGATAATTTGTTGGCTTGTGACTAGCCTCAGCTCCCTCTAACAGGTGTATCAGAAACGAAAGATTACTCTTTGAGCAGACCTTGTTTTAGAGGTCAAAAACCTATAAACTTCATTTCTGTATTACAAAGACATAAGCATAATTAGGTACATTCATATCCAACCTCCTTTTTAGACTTCTAGTAACCACTTATTGCTGCTCACACTATCAGCAGAAACCAAGTCCTTCACCAAAAAAAAAATCTGTCAGTCTAAACAATGCTGTGATCTTTTTTTTTTAGGTTGCTATCCCACCAGTTTCACTACTGCAACCTTGCCTATAACTAAATAGAGCTATGGAGCTCCCATTGAAACTTCCTTTTTTAAGTTGCTGAATAAGACAATCTAGCAAGCCCACTGAATTTAGAGACCTGATGGCACTGCTGACAGCAATGCTATTATGAATCATAGAATCACAGAATGGTTAGCGTTGGAAGTAACCTTAAAGATCACTTAGTTCTAACGCCTCTGCCATGGGCAGGGATACCTCCCACTAGACCAGGGTGCTCAAAGCCCCGCCCAGCCTCCAGGGATGGGGCATCCACAACCTCCCTGGGCAATCTGTTCCAGTGCCTCACCACCCTCATAGTAATTTTTTATTTCCTAATATCTATTCTAAATCTACCCTCTTCCAGTTTAAAGCCATAACCTCTCGTCCTATCACTACATGCCCTTGTAAGAAATCCCTCTCCAGCCTTCTTGTAGGCCCCCTTCAGAAACTGGAAGGCTACTATGTCTTCCCAGAGCCTTCTCTTCTCCAGGCTGCACAACCTCAACTCTCTCAGCCTCTTCTCATAGGAGAGGTGTTCCAGCCCTCTCATCATCTTTGGGGCCCTCCTCTGGACTCACTCCAGCAGGTCTATGTCCTTCTTATGTTGGGGAGCTCCAGAACTGGACAGAGTACTCCAGGTGGCATCTCACAAGAGTAGAGTAGAGGGGCAGAGCCACCTTCCTCAACCTGCTGACTATGATACGGTTGGCCTTCTGGGCTGCGATTGCACATTGCTGGCTCATGTTGAGCTTCTCATCAACCAACACCTTCAAGTCCTTCTCCTCAGGGCTGCTTTCAATCCATTCTCTGCCCAGCCTGTATTTGTGCTTGGGATTGCCTCAACACACATGCAGGACCTTGCACTTGGCCTTGTTGAAATTCATGAGGTTTGCACAGGCCCACCTCTCAAGCCTGTCCAGGTCCCTCTGGATGGCATCCCTTCCCTCCAGCATGTTGACTGCACCACACAGCTTGGTGTCGTCGGCAAACTTGCTGAGAGTGCACTCCATCCCAACATCCATGTCACCAACAAAGATGTTAAACAGCACCAGTCCCAACACCAACCCCTGAAGAATGTCACTGGTCACCACTTGAACATTGAGCTGTTAACCACAACTCCTTGAGTGCGACCATCCAGCCCGTTCCTTATCCACCGAGTGGTCCATTGGTCAAATCCATGTCTCTCCAATTTAGAGACCAGGATGTTGTGCGAAACAGTGTCAGACGCTTTGCACAAGTCCAGGTAGATGATGTCAGTTGCTCTTCCCCTATCCACCAACGTTATAACACTGTCGTAGAAGGCCACCAAATTTGTCAGGCACATTTTCCCTAGTCTTCCTTTTGTCACTGATACACCTGTAGAAGGCTTTCTTGTTGCCCTTGATGCCCTTGGCCAGATTTACCTCTATCTGGGCTTTAGTTTTCCTATCCTGATCCCTGGATGCTCAGACAACTTCTCTGTATTCCTCCCAGGCTACCTGTCCTTGTTTCCACCCTCTGTAGGCTTTCTTCTTCTGTTTGAGATTGTCCAGGAGCAACTTGTTCATCCATGCAGACCTCCTGACATTTTTGCCTTCTTTACTATTTCCTATAAATCTCTATACGTTTTTTGAAAAATAAAGCATACATAAGAAAACAGAACAATCTTTGTCAAAGCACCTAGGGGAAATAGAAGCCATTCCCTGTTCACCTTGCTGGGCTTTTCACAAGAAGAAATAAACCCTGCCAATGCTCTCTGCCAAGTCTACTGTTACATCAACAGCCCTCTGGAAAACAGTAATACTGAAGGCAGCTAACAGAACTTCATGAATCAGTTAAAGAGAATCCTTTCCTTCCAGGAGCTGGCAATACCATGAAAAGATGGTATTCCTCTCCTATGAGGAGAGGCTGAGAGTTGGGGCTGTCTTCACCCTGGAGAATAAAAGGCTCCGGGGAGATCTTATTGCAGCCTTCCAGTACCTAAAGGGGGCCTACAGGAGAGCTGGGGAAGGACTTTTTACTAGGGCATGTAGTGACAGGATGAGGGGGAATGGCTTTAAACTGGAAGAGGGCAGGTTAAGATTAAACATTAGGAAGAAGTTTTTCACTTTAGGGGTGGTAAGGCACTGGAACAGGTTGCCCAGAGAGGTTGTTGAGGCCCCATCCCTGGAGGTGTTCAAGGCCAGGCTGGATGTGGCCTTGGGCAACCTGGTCTAGTGGGAGGTGTCCCTGCCCATGGCAGGGAGGTTGGAACTCGATGATCTATCTTCAAGGTCCTTTCCAACCTAAACCATTCTATGATTCTGTGATTTCTTACTGCACTTTCTGTAAAACCACAGTGCACCCAAAAAAGTATTACAGCAATAGCAATACCCAAAATAGCTAAGGCAAGCTGCTAATAAACTTGCCGAGTAAGTTTCTGCCAAAAGACCATTCCAAATGAAGTTAAATAGGATAATTAAAGATAAAAAGCACATAGCTGTTACTGAATCTTATACAAAATATCCATACCACGACAAGTATACCCACAGTTTTCTGGAGACATGTCAAAATCGCCTTTTAATCAATCTAACCAGGTCTAGAAAAAAAAAGAAAGGAGCTCCAGGTTCTTCAATCGCTTAAGTCTTTGTGATAGTCTTACTCATGCTTATATATAGCAGCATGAATTCCATAGAACTTTAGAGTATGTTCTTAATTTCCACAGTAATTTGTAGCAGAATCTGACACATCTTCCCCAGTGAAAAACAAAGCAAGAAACCCATTCTAACGCATGGAATATAGAAAGTGCTCAGTTATGAAAAAATGCACATTAAAATAATTGTCAGAAAGGCTTCTACAGTTAAAAGGATCTTCAGTTTCTTACTAAAGAGATCTGAAATAACTAAATCTCTATCAATTCACCTTGAATTCAGTCACTGACTTGTATTCATTCGCAGCAATTTTTTCCTTCATCGTACCAAAATCCATGGGGTGCTTTATTATCATGGAATATCCAGGAGCAATGGCATCCGTGACTGGAAAAGCAAAAAACCCATGAGGATCTTTCCTAAAAATAAAAACAATACATTTATATTTATATCAGCAAACAAAATGATAATTCTTTTTAAACCTCAATAATGCTATAAAAAGAACAGTATTACTAAAAAAAAAAAACAAACACTAAAAGCACTCTCATAAAACAGAAGCATATTTGAAAAATTTCCTGATACAGGAGAGAATTCTGATTACACATTTGTAGACTTTTTGAAAGAGATTCAGCTAGTTCTTGAATTACTTAATCATTTCTTGTATGCTTTCTGTGTCTTTATTTACACTCAAAATGGGTCTTTTGGCTTCACTAATAACCTCTTCAACTCTTCTTGTTCACGAGATCCTCTAAAAATAACTACAGTGTTTAGAATTTCCAAATTCAGCTTATTGCTATGTAATAAAAAAGAAAAATGAAATATTTTGTTTGTTGTTTTGTGGTTTGTTGTTTGGGTTTTTTTTAAACATGAGGTTAACATCTTATGGAAAACAATAAAATAAAAAGCCTGTCCAAATCAAGTTTTATGAAGTAAGCATGTATAAACGTGCTTTGATATCTGACAGGACACAGAATAAAACAAAATTTCATGAGAACAGTTCAATCTTTTAAACTATTAAAATTCATAACTGTTTTTTAATTCCTAAGTCATTAATATTTAATAAATTTATAATGGCAACATATCCTCTGCCCAAAACAGCTCACCGCCAAAAGCTAGAATTGTATATTTTCTTCATTTAATCTTTAACAACTACCAGGTCTGACATGGTTGCAAATGTTACCAAACATATTACAGCCATGCATTAGGTACTGTTTTCAAACAGAAAACCAGGAAAAGAAGTTGTAAAGTAACACACATAAATATGCATTAGACACTGTCGACACAGCTGTAGTTACAATATGCTTAATACCTTTGAAGCTGTCGAAGGAAATGTTCCAGTAATTGCTGGATTGGCGTGCTCTCATTTTCAGCTGTATTTGAGACAGAAACAGACATAAATGCAATAAAACAGAATACAGGTATAGTTATTTATTTAAAAATATAAATACCAGACAAGATTTTAACTACAAGTACAGCTTGTACTGATCTGAAGGTCAATGTGACACGGATTTCAAAGCAGAAGCACCTCAGATTTCTAAGCATACGGTAACTATTTCTTCTCCTTTACAACTTACTGAGTTTTAATCACATTAAATCAGATGTAATGTTAAGTATAGTAGTTGTAAGAAAATGTATTAAGAAGGTGAAAGCAAGGTGTTGTTATTTTTACAGGAAAAGAAAAGTGAAACTTGGTTGCTCAAACACTGCAGTTGGGAAATCCACATTCTTACAACGTGCTATTTGTGCAATTTTAATGGCTTGTTTACCATAACACCCACAAACTTAGCTTCTCTGAACCTTTTTTTATCAAAAAGAAGAGTGACAAATAATTAAAGAATTGCTGGTAACAGACCTACTGATTACGATTTCACTTCCTGTACAGATTAAACAATAAACACTACACATTAATTACCTGTTCCATGCACATACTTCAGAGAGACTGGCTTTAATGTGAAGTTTTAAAATCTAAAGAAGCAGCATGCTGAAATCTAGAATTAGAACTCCAACTCTTCATCATGATAACAGAAGAGATATTTCCCTTCTTAACTGGAACAGGTAAGATAATTTATATGCTTTCGAACAACATTTTCTAAGCAGATGAAAATCGAAGCCTTGTCAATACAGATACCAGTTTTCAGCTTGTCAGTTTTTCAAGGCTCCAGACTACCCAGAGACACAGCTTTGACCAGAAAATTTCAGTTACCCCTATTAGGTCACCTTGACTGTTTAGGGATACCATTCCTCAATTTAATATGTAGTCATAACCAGAAAATTCCTCAATAAACTACTTGACCAGTCAACCGACAGTGTTTCCAAGACAAGACTAAAAATATTCCTAAAGACCCAATTTTCTGCTAATAAGTTCCATTTCCAGGCATATGTGTACTGAGATCATGATGTATTTGAAAATTCTTATAAGTAAAAGTTTCTATTGCATAATGTTGAGTTCTAACTACTAAGCAATGGCTACACATAGAGAAAGCATGGCAAAATCTGACGGGATTAAACACACAGAAGTTACCACACACAATTGATAAGTACTTTTGCTGGTGATGAGAATTACTGAAGATTGGTAAATGAAAACTGAGGGAAATACGGTCTTTAGAGACACCCTATCACAACTTACTGCCATACTTTTGATGAAAATAGAGATATTAAAATTAAACCCCCACATAGATTATAAAAAAAGACCGTAACAACAGCTAAGTGGTCTCCACAGGATTTTCTCCCTTGAACTGAGCAAAACTTAGTTTCAGACAGTCTGGCCACTGTTCTGTAAATACTGAAGAACTGCTGAGGAAAAGGAATTAGGGGAACACTAGGCACAATAACACTTTTATACTACCTTTATTCTGCCAAGTAACAGGATCCAGAGACAGATGTCCTTGGCAAGTTCAGTCAGACGAAAACAAACCTACTTAAACCCAGGGGCACCAAGAGGAATATTGATTTTTCAGACAGCAGAAAGTTGGAAAAAAAGTCTCTAGATTTCAGCAAATCCTCATGGAAATTTTACATTTTGATACCTTTGACAAAAGCTTTGTTGTGCGTGCTTTTAAAAACACCCAAGATCATCTGATTTTTCACACTGCTCACCTGGCTGAGTTCTGCATGCTCTGACAGGACGATCTGGAGGAGGCTCGACCTCCACTTTTTTCCCAGGATCAAAGTCATCAGTTTCTCCTTCAGTGTCACACTGTTCTTTCTCCCTTTTCCTCTTTTTCTCTTCCTAGCCCAGTAGGAAGATGACAGATTTTAGAAGAATGTACTTGGAATGTGCAATCCCATATACTAAAAGGTTAGAGACTGTGATTTTTTGTTTGGAATACTCAATCTATATCTGAGCCATAATATGGTTTAAACAATAGTGCACACGTTTTCACTGTCACTTTTTTCAATTTTATTCTCCAATTAGAACTCATACTGTTCACCTTTTGTTTCTTTGTATTTAATATACTACTGTTCTATTATTAGTTACTGTACTTTTACCAAATTGAATGTTAAACTCTGAAGCTATTTATATGTAAAATTGCATGATAATAAGCTACACCAGAGAACAAAGGAAATGAATTTACTATTCAGTAAACATCAGTCTGTAGCGCTGCTTTGATCAATGTGCTTTTGTTGTTTGGTGCATTACACAGGAATCAATAAAGTACTCGATAATTTAGGAAGCCTACAAAAGAACCAAAAGAAATGCTCTGTAACAGTGGTAGCAATTAATGATCTCTTCCTGAGCTTCAAAGCAAAGGCATGCCTGAGTCACTCCTAAAATCTTACAGTCGTACATGTTTGCACAGGAAAGAATACTTTCATAAACCTTTTTTATACTACAGTTTTGTTACTTATCTATCCATTAGCTTCTTTTGCATGCACTAATAACGAAGTTCTGGGAAAAAAAAAAATCCAAACACCCTCCCCCCCACTTTAGCAAAGGCAAAACAAATCATTTGATTTGATGCTGCAAGATCTTGTATTAAAGACAGTTGTTTTGCTACATTTTAATTCCCAGCCATGCTTCAAACTGAAACATTTGAAAATGTACAAAGAAAATTTTCAACTGTCTGCCCTGTATTCAAGAGCTTCTGAATGATCCTACAAGGTATATCACTTTCAAGTAATGCAAGCCTAACAAATAAATCAATTCAAAATTATAGATGTTAGCCATACACACATACAAAGTAGTACTGAAAAACTGTCATTTGAGAATAGTAAAACTACATGACAGAAGAGAATTTTAAAAGCTGAGAGGTCAGAGAATCATTAGTACACAAAAGAAACAGTATTAAAATGAAATTGTATAGGTAACCATACCATCAATGCCTTCTTGCTGATTTCAATCTATCTCCTAAAGGCTCATGACAGACAACTGAGGTGACCACACAGTTGCTACTAACAAAGCCATAAAGCTTAACAGGCAGGTTATTCTAAAGAGAGCCAACAAGACTGTTGTACCACAGTATTCAACAGATCAGATTTCAGAAAGCTGTTTTGAGTAAACATATCAATTTCAACGTCCAATATCTTGGCATATCTCAGGAATGGAAATGCAATCTAGATTACGTTGAAAATACTCTCCTCAAAGGGTAGCAAAACATATTTCTGATCTGGCTGAAATACAAAACATCCAACTTAAAACCAGAAGCATTCATACCTACAGACAAAGCAAACTGATAAGAAAACCAAGCAGTTACAAGAAAAAAACTTTTACTTTGTTCATCACTGGGATATGTCTTTTAAAGGGGAGAAATAAACCAACACATACACGTGGATTTTCTACATTTGTGAAGTGCAGTCTCTCAACAAGCTTCTTGCAACAGTGACTTAAAAAAAAGGTTCTGGTACTCTACACCAGGTTCTAGATCTGATAAGCAAGCATGAAGACGACTGGTACGTCTGAACTCTAAAAATCACAGCTCACCTTTCTCCTTCTTCTTTCCTCATCATCTAGATGCTTTTCTTTCTCCTTCTCAGACTTCTTTTTCTTTTTTTTCTTCTTTTCTTTATGACGTTCTCGCTCATGATCTGATCTGTCATCATAGTAACTAGAATCATGCCCTGACCCAGAAAGTTCAGTCACTTCACTTCCTCCAACTTTAAGCACCAGCTTTAAAGGTTTTTCCAACGGCTTATCCACATAATCTAAATTTAAAAAGTAAAGCATTTCATAAATACACATGGAGGTGACAGCATACAGCAATTACTGATACTTCTTCTAGAAATACCGCTTACAAGAATTTGCTGCTGTTTGAAAACGCATGCAACATATTTGGCGAGATTAATAGCTAAGACTAACAAATCCAAGTTACGAAAGTTGTCCAGCACATTTTACACCATGAGTTTCCACGGACCTGTAACACATAAGGAAATAACCCCTCGGCGTTCCCGGAAAACCTCCCAAGATCCTTGTGAGATGAAGGTGAAACCAACTATCGCTCAAGCGGTGCCGTAACCGAACCCCCTCAGTAACAGCCGTTCGAACCACGAAAACGCTGGGTCCCGGAACACCCCACCCCAGCGCCCCCGCGCTCCCTCCGCCTTCCCTATGCCCCTCCCGAGCCGTCCCGGCGCGGACGCCGCAACCTCCCGCCT